CCACCGCAGCCTCGACCCGCTGGGCTCCGGCGATCCTTCCGCCTCAGCCTGCCCAGTAGCTGGAACTACAGGCGCGTGCTACCACGCCCGGCTAATTTTTTAACTTACTGTAGCGATGAGATCTTGCCAGGTTGCCCGGGTGGGTCTCGAACCCGCAGGTTGGAGCAATCCACTCACGTCGGCCTCCCAAAGCGCTGGGATTACAGGCTGAGCCGCCGAGCCCGGCTTCTTTAATTCTCTAAATTCATTTCTTCCCACTGTTGGTGCAAGTAGAACATGATGGAAGACTGCCCTCTTGTGGCACAAGAAAGAAAATAACATGCAAAGCAAGGTTGCCTGAAAAATGCGAAACAGCCTTGTAACCTGCCAAGGAAATGAGGTCTCAGGCCTGCTGGAGAACCTCCTTTGTCAGATGCCGATGGGCACTGAACGTTTGTCCTTTCCACAGTCCCTCCACAGCGGACGACTGGGTTTTCGTTTTGAAAATATTTCCTGTAGCCTTTGTCTTCACTGCACTTTTGTGTAAATTTCTAAAAGTTCCACATGCAAGCAATAAAATTCATGTCTACAAAACAGACCCATGCACATGGTGTCAGGGACGTTAACAGTGGAGGTATCGAGGCAAGAATGGACTCAGTGGAGGCCAGATGGGAGGTTTCCAGAATACAGCCTGTAAGTTGACGTGGCCGCGCCCTCGCCCACCAGGACTGATTCATGTGAATGGGAAGGATACACCCTATTCAGATCCTATCAGGGAATTTAAGACATTTACCAAGAGCCAAGAAAAAGAGACATGTGGAAATCAAGAACAGCACTTTGGGAGGTGGAGGTGAGAGGATTGCCTGAGTCCAGGGGTTCGAGACCAGCTCGGGCAATTTGGCGAGACCTTGTGTCTACAATAAATAAACAAATTAGCTGGGCCAGGCATGGTGGTTCACAACTGTAATCCCAGCACTTTGGGAGGCAGAGGCACGAGAATGCCTGGGTCTAAGGGTCTGAGACTAGCCTGAGCAACTTGGTGAGTCTTTGTCTCTACAATAAATAAAATAAAATTAGCCATATGTGGTGGCACACATCTGTAGTTCCAGCTACTTGGAAAGCTGAGGTGGTAGGATTGCCTGAGCCCAGCAGGTCGAGGCTGTGGTGGCTGTGAGTATGCCACTGCACTCCAGCCTGTGCAATGGAGTAAAACCCTGACTCAAAAAACAAGACAAAACAAAAAAACAGGCTCCGTAGTTCACATCTGTAATCTCAACACTTTGGGAGACCAAGGAAGGAGGAGTGCTTGAGCTCAGGAGGTCAAGGCTGCAGAGAGCTATGATTGAACCACTGCACTCCAACCTGGGCAACAGAATGAGCCCCTACCTCAAAAAAAAAAAAAAAAAGTCCAGGCAAGATGGCTTATGTCTGTAATCTCAGCACTTTGGGAGTCTGAGGCAGGAGAATTGCTTGAGCCCAGGAGTCCTGGGCAACATAGCAAGATCTCATCTCTATAAAAAACAGAAAAATTAGCCAGGCGTGGTGGTGTACACCTCTAGTCCCAGCTACTCTGGAGGCTGAAGTAGGAGGAACATCTGAGCCCCGGTAGTCCTGATTGTGCCACTGCACTCCGAGTGAGACCCTGACTCCAAAATGAAAATAAAGATTAAAAACAAAAAACGGCCACGAGATAGGCTCTACCCTGAAGCCAGCTGTTAGAAAATGCAAAACCATTCATCTACCCAGCAGGGTCCCCTGTCATACATGACTGGGCTCCCCGAACCTGTGGGGAATAGAAGGGGCTGGCCGTGACTGAAGCCAAGAGGGGAGTCAGCAGCGGGGATTCAGCACATAGGGCCTATGAGCACTGGTGGAAGGTGAGGATAGGAAGTCCCTGGAGGGCTTTGGGCAGAGGTGTGACAGGTCTGACTTGTGTTTAGAAAAAGGCAATCCTGGCTGGTATGTGAGGGATCAAGTGTAAGGGGCCAGGGGAGAGACGAGAGACTTGTTGGGCGTCTGTTGCAGAAAACCAGGCAACAAAGGCTGTGGACCAGGGTGTCAGCAATAGACAGGTTGAGAAGTGGTTGGATTCTGGAGATATATATATATATATTTGAGTCAGAGTCTCACTCTGCTGCCCAGGCTGGAGTGCAGTGGCACACTCACGGCCACTGCTGCCTCGACCTGCTGGGCTCAAGTGATCCTTCTGCCTCAGCCTCTCAAGTAGCTGGAACCACAGGCGCGTGCCACCACACCTGGCTAATTTTTTAAAAAATTTATTGTAGAGATGAGGTCTTGCCAAGTTGTCCAGGTTAATCTCCAAC